CTTTCGCCCAGAGTTAACGAATAAGACACAAAAGTTCAGTTTGAAAATCTCATGACTCAAACACATGACTTGCTTCCAACATCTAGTGTTGACGTTGAACAACCTAAATCTGCATTACTTCATTGTTACTACCAGTACCAAAGAACGCAAGGCGGACAACGACAGATGTTATCAAAAGAACACAAAAGACAACTTAATGAATTGGTGAACAACAAAAAACATAATGCTGATTCGTCCAGACAAGGGATCAGGTATTGTTATTTTTAATCTTGATGACTATGTCAATAAATTATGTGCCATCCTTAGTGATGAAGAAGAATTTCTAAAATCACCTGACCAAAAAGACAAGACGGAGAATATTGAGAGGGAATTATCAAAAACTGACGAAATTGAAGCAAGAATGCATTATTACTCCATGTATGTATGAACAGCATAAAACCATCTAGTTCAACCATCCCTCGTTTATATGGTCTCCCAAAGGTGCACAAAGATGATGTTCCTCTGTGACCTGTATTGGATATTCTGAACTCGCCTTATCACTCTACGGCTAAATGGCTTGCGGAGATTCCGGAAGCAGTTATATTAAATCTATGTAAACATAGTCTTTCTGACACTTTTGACTTTGTCAGTTGCGTTGATGAAATTAATATGACCGGTAAGCATATGATTTGGTTAGATGTTTGTTCATTGTTCACAAATATACCACTAGTAGACACTGTCTGCTATCTATGCGAGTATATTGGTTTAAACAGCATGAATTACCAACTGAATACCTGAAACAACTACTATTGAGATGCACACTGAATGTGCAATTTAGATTTAATGAAGTAATCTACAATCAAAGAGATGGAGTCGCCATGGGGTCTCCTTTAGGATTACTCTTAGCGAATGTCTTCATGGCAAGCTTAGAGAACGGCCCACTAAACGAAACCATCGAGAGTTTATTTATGTATAAAAGATATACAGATGATCCGTTCATTGTCTGTGAGGAAAACTCTTCAACTGCCAAACTTCTTGGAATATTTAATGGTTCTCACCCATCTTTGCGTTTCGTAATCGAAGAAAAGTCGAATTCCTAGTTTAACTTCCGTGACGTTAAGCTAGATAGAAGAGAGAATGGCACGCTGTTAAGGTCGATTTACCGAAAGCCAACAATAACAGGGCAGTACACTAACTTCAACAGTTGGGCACCTTTAGGGAGAAAGAGAAATCTTATTCATTTCTTATGATCCTGAATTAGCGTTGGTGACATAGCGGTTAGGGCGCTCGCCGACCATGCACATGGTCTGGGGTTGGATCTCCGACCGACGTACTCCTTTACCTCGCTAAGCCAGTAATAAAGCTGGTAAAGAGAGAAGGTTAGACATGAGGCTAGTAACCCCATCCTGTGAAAATAAACACTGCTACAGAAACTTCAAGCTTCTAGCTTGAAGCCCTATGTTCCACTGGAACGTGAAGGAAAAATTAAAATTATGCTCCAGAATTCGTAAAATCTGCTCTACAGAGACACTTGATAGTGAACTAGATAACCTTCGATCAAATCTTCTTAGCAATGGATATCCTACAAGGTTTATTGAACGTAACATCAAGAAAGAATCCACCCCGAGACAAATAACAGTAGCAAAGAAAAAACTGTTTATGAGCCTTGCATTTAAAGGTGACACTATTTCTGAATTGATTAAAAATCGTTTATCTAAATGTATTAAACACACTTTTCCTGCAGCTGACTTGCAACTAGTTTTCACCAGCCGAAACATGATTAGACAATGCGTCAAGGATAGATTACCGCTTATGTCCACATCTATGTGCATTTGCTCTTTTACCTGCTCCTGTAGAGCTGATTATAATGGACGTTGTAAGCGTACTCTCCGAAAACGGGTAGCTGAACACTATCCGGTTTGGTTAATAAAAGGCGAACATAGAACTACAAAGTCGTCTATTTGTGATTACGTGTTAGAGTCTGGTCATTAAGCCCTACGTGATTCATCCTTCAAGGTTATCTACATGGCAAAACTGAATCGCTCCAAAAGTTTAAGTTTTCTTCACTTATGCATAACCGAAGCTTTAGCTATACATGAACAGAAAGCTAAATTATGTGTTCAATAACGTTTTGTCAAACCACCTTCTTTACCTTGCTCATAGTAATGTTCTTTCTAGTTTGTATTTTAATTTATTTAATCACTTGAATTTATTCCACTTCACTTCACATCTTTATTCTTATCGTAATCGTTCTCTTAATTTTTAAAATTTTTAGACAAGTCTTGACAGATTTAAAAAAATATTTTTGGTATCAATTCACTTATAAAACAATCTTTAATAATTTTGTAATCCATCCCTTAGAACATTTTAATTATCGTTATTCTTATCACATATATATGTATATTGACTGAGCAATTATTTAGTGCCTGCTACTTAATAACTTTTTCTGTAATATAAATACGACTGTACAGCTTGAAAATGAAGTCGTCGATAAGAAATTTCTTCACTGAACAAAAGCTGTGTTTTTAATTTTGAATAAACGTGCATTTTTCTTGGTAAATAATCCACTCTTGAAATCCATATTTTCTAGAATCTTCTTACCGCTTTTCCAGCGTATTATTCTCTCCTCGCCCCCAACGCACAGTCGTAAGCCTAATCCCGTCCATCACGATAAAGAATATCATCAGTGATAATAGACAGGCAGCCTTGTCTTGTGCCTGTATTCCTTTCAAATGCTTTTCTGTGTTTTCTTCAATGGCCATGCTTCGTATTATACTGTTCACGCCGCTTCCACCTGTGTAAATTGACATTAGAGGTACTATTCCATCACCTCTTCTTTGCACATCATGTGTAAGTGAATAATTGTAAGTATAGTTACTCCTCGTATATGTTATTTATCATAATGACGATGCTTATAAACCGGCATCACTCGTGGACAAAAACTGTGAATATATTATTTTTATGAACAACGAAACTTTTTCCGGAAGACCGTAACTGTTTACTGCATCAGGTGGCATCAACTTGTCTTGATATCATTGTGCATTGGGACAAGAATGATACTACTGATGTTTCGTATGAAATGTAACACTGCTTACAACTAGTATTACTTTTATGTCGGAAAGTAGCTTCCAGCTGCATCCTACCATTGGCACACCTGTTTCGTAAGTTAGTAATATCAGCTCTAATAATCATTCTTTTTCAGCTCGCTAAGATATTTTGAGGTCCTTCAAGAGTTATATGTAGCTGTGAAGGATTTGGATGTTGCAATTGTGACTCATGGCTTTCAAGTAGTGATTATTAAACAACCTATGTAGACAGACTTTATGATGTCCAAGTTAAAATTCTTAGGCATATTCAGTTATTGCATGCCATTATCTGTGATGAGAAAGCTGGTGAAAATGAATATGAAGTCCACCTTCCTATCAAACAATTGCTTACAGACATTTGCTTCTAATTATCTTTCGCTTATTATTCTTGACATCCGGCTTACTATACCTGCCTTATTCTCCTCCTATTTAGATAAATGCAGATATATACAAATTATTTTCACATACTTCCTTCCCATCCAAAAGAATCAGGACAAGTATATTACAGCTTACCTGGATTAAAATTCTCATCGGTTGTTTGCCTATCTGCAAGCAGTGATATTATTCTTCAGGGCGGGTAAACATCTCTAAACTCACTGCGTTTACGAATGACATTCTAAATCGTGACAACGTGACCATTCAGTATTTCTGCCAGGCGTTTGACTCAACACGTGGTGAATCTGAATATCCCTCTCACTCATTACACTGTCTTACTAGAGGGGAAATAACACGATAGTTTCCACAGAAGCGTGCAATATTTCCGGTGCATGGCACCAATAAAATGTCTCTCCGACTCGTGAAATCTAGAATGTCCCGAATGTCCTTATTGATAACTGCTTCTCATATCTTCATTTTGCATACCGTCTAAAATCGTTGATCGACAAATAATGCACACTCTGTGCTCTCTCTCCTCTATGCTGTTGATACGGAAAACTGAGTTTCGAATGTCACTGAGTGACGTCTGTTTGTTTGATTCTATGATACACAAGTGGGAATCAAAAACTGAAATGTTACATAAGAAGATGTAACTGTTGTGTGGTGCTCACATCTTTTCAGTTGTGCAAAAATCTTAGTTCTCGTGAAGAATGAGTAGCCCGTGTTCGAGGTTCCATCGTATATGAACAACATTCATAAATGCTTAGTTGTGGTGTGGCGTGATGTGATATCCTTTTACGTTCGAGGTCATCTCAAACGCTTTCATAGTGTATGATGTTGTATTAAGGTACGCTGACATTCCTTGTTTGTCCTAACGTACGACGTACTCGAAAACAACACGAAACATGTGCGATTTTCAGGCCCATATTTAGGCTGATTCCATGGCAGAATAAGGATTTCATGTACTAAATCCATGTGTACAGTTAGTCCACACATTCGGACGTGTGAAGCAGTTGAAAGAGCAAGCTAAACAGTCGAATGTCAGTGCTATTCAAAACGAAATCTGACATCACGATACTATGGATATATTCAAGTTCAGTCAAACTGGATGCAAACTGCTCACTGAATATATCTTGTTCGAGTGGTCAATGATTTCACCGACACACATTTTATGGATAGTATCCGATGAAGTCACACCATCATCTATCCAAATTACACATCGATTATAGTAAGAGTACATCGTCACGTAAGAGTATACGTATCAGCATGTGCCCTGTCCATTCACCTCAGAAACTCATACTGAATCACTGCCTCCCAAACACCGACGAGTACATTTAGAATGTTAGTGTTTCTCAGTAATGAATACTTGCATCCCTCACACACACCACAGACATATCGAGATTTTCACGGTGATGGGGAAACTGTCTCCACAGAATTCGTGTCCGCGCAAAACCGACCAGATTTTTAACATTGACGACACTCACCACTATTGTGTCGTCGAGAGAATTCAGAACAATTAAAAAGTTGGAAAAATAAATGATTTATTGATTAAACTAAGGAGCTACAAACTACACACTAATCATGGGAGACACTAATCGCCTTCATTCGTCCCGAAAGCCAGAAATTATGTCTGGAAGGAAAAACACGTATGCATTACTGTGAGTTGATTTGAAGAAATGGAGATGATTGAAACAGATTGAGAATAACATTGACATTTTAATATTCCACGTGCATAGCTGATCTTGTCAGTTCAGGGATTCTCCGAGCTAACTGTAACCCGAATAACATGGTGAAATAACTGATGGTGTTTCGTGATGATCAAGACTATACTAATTGAGATTACAAATAAGAATGAGCACTGTGTATGGAGGATTCTCCTCCAAAGACTCACCAGCTGATGACACCTGTTGCATTGCTTTGATTCTATGAGTCATATATCAACTGATGTTCATTTTGTATTGTGAATCATTTTGAAATGACGGAGACAAGAGTTAAAATCATTCTGTTGTTTAACAGTGTTTACTTACGCATTCACATAAGGGACAGATTTGGGTTCCATTTTCTACTCCAACGAAATCATCGGGCAGCTGAGAATAAAATGATAAACAAATAAGCATGAGGATTTAATGGAAATCAGAGTATGCCGAATTCTCTGTCAAAAAACCAAGTGATTCTGTCATTGTGTTGACTGATTCGCACACCATCTTGTTGAACTCGATCGTCCTAATCTCCCGGAAATCCACATATTTCATTGATTTCTCTGTGCACACAAGAGACTGTGTTCCGTGTGTGAACAGGTGGCTAGTTCACTCTCTCATATTAGGCCTACGTTACCAGTTCACTGATATGTTCCTTATCTAGTTTGGTTACTCATTGATTCAATCCAACTGCTTAGCATATTTAAAGTCGATGACATCCACATAACACTGAGGTTTTCATGAAATAAAATCGAATTCTCAGTTGTGATTTTCAAGTGGGTTAAATATAATTGACGTCTCTTACCTCTGAAATGCGATTGATCCACTGAAATGTGAAATGAAAGAGATTTAAATAGTAATTGAGGGAAAACTGAGAATAAGCTAACTGATGAATGGATCACTTCTCATAACCGTTTGATACTGATCATGTGGATTTTGTACAAGTGACATCGTTTGTAAATGGAAGGTTATGCTTTAATCACTGTAAGGGTGATTGATGAATTCAAAATGTGAATCAGATGTTGGCGATGTTGATATCTGTGTGTGTGTGTGATTGGTATGTGATGCAGTGGCACAAAGGCAGGCTGAGGATTTAAGCTACATGCGACCACTTGACATCTTCTATTCATCAACATTCATCATCCATACACACTCAACCTTTTCTCGATAGAAGGGTCTCGTACGCTGGGGCATCAGGATTCATCGAGCTTGCCTAAATTTCTGATATCTAATCACTTCCCGTGTTTATGGACGCAATACGAATTGATATTACTGAGAAGACTTACGCAAAAGCACTCCCCACAACTACCCTCAGTCACCACGTAGACAACTTCTCTCCCGGGACTCTGAAAGAGAAAATCGACACTGTAGTCACATTAAAAAGTGTACACAAAATGTAAATTATCCAGATGACGATGGTAGTTTGAGATCACTAGTACTGTGGAAATGGTGAAAGGGCATACATCATAATTGAACTCACGAGAGTAACTGTGAAGTTGGTCACTTCGAAAGCTGTAAGAAGAGACCAGAGATGAAATCATATGAGATAACCGGCGAAAAATATTAACACTTCGACACACCATAACCGATGATTGTGAATATTCACCAGAGTGGCACTGTTTCACTCAGTCGGTAGAAACATCTATGAAGCAATCGATATCTGACTGACGTATGAATGTACCATTCGATCAAGCATGTCCGATCATCATATTCATCGTCCGAGATGAACGATCAGTCTGATTAATCGTGTAATGAAAATGTTATCATTGAGTCAATCAAATCGCTTTTGTGGCAGAACATCATTGAAAAAACTCAAAATATCATAAACTGACAATGACTCGAATACACGGAATCAACACAGACCGTTCTGACCTACCTTGTACACAACACACTGCCAGGACAAGGCTAAGGAGGAAGAAATACTGAATATGCATGTTTGTACTGTGAATTGAATTACAAAATGGATGGTGTATATATAGTGGTTCTAAGTGCGTGGAATGACAGACTGATTGGTACTAACAACATAACAGTGTGGGTGTTGTTTCGTTTGTGCAAGCTGATTGGGTGAATTTGACAACAGTGAGTGCATACATCACCTCTCAGAAAATTGACATTCAGACGAATCGTGTTTGTGTCCAACATCATTGGCTGACAAATCTCTTGAACACAAACAGAGAATGATGTGGTATTGGGAATTATCATCTTTGGAACATGCATTCCTTTTGAGTAAAATTTGGAGGAGAGTTGTGAATTCAGAAATATTTGGAGGACGAAAGTAACTAAATGCACAGAAATACTATAGGCATCGAGCTGCTCGCCACCTGTGCATTGATCAGTGGTGCTTCTTATTTTCCACATGAAATTCTGGCTGAGATGGACTTATTCACCGATCGAATTAATGCATTTCTTCTTGTTATCAGCAATGAGGCTTAGCGTGGCAATTCAGAGGCTATGATTCTGTTCAGATGATATTGGTCGTAAACATGGTTGGATTCGTATGCGTATTTTGGAACTCGGCTTAGCGTGGATATCCAGAGAAGAGGAAAACGATATCAATGGGCTATACTCAAGCACATCTCCACCTCTAAATATCCGTAAGTCTCATATGGTTGCTTCAAATTACCACACACTTATTTCGAATACAGCTTCAAATACCTCATTTATACTTACCAAAATCACTGCCTAAGAAACGCCTGAAACAGGACTTACGGGTTCCCCGGCACAGTTACACATGCCCACCTGTCCAAAGCCACTCTGATATCGCTGCAATAAATCCGTTTGACTATATTTTTACTTCGTATTCTTTAGTTTCCACATTCAGATTGATTAGATTATTTTTCACACTGACTCAGTAACACCGACCTCTGCGTTTCTTTGTCCATTCGTTCAAGTCTTTATAGAATATGGCACAAATAAGGTAGGGTATTTTCTAAGTCGAAATCGTCACTATTTGACTGGTTTATGAGGTCTCTGCTGGCAGTGAATACTTCTGTAGGATGACTTCATAGTAAACAATTTTCGTCGCTCTACGTCATCCTTTTTATTATACGTTCAAGAAGTTGACAAACGTATATATTATGGAGTATACTGATATTCTGATAAAGTAGGGGTCTGCACAATTAATAATGCAATGTGGGATGTTGGTACTATTGCTGACTTCTAACAAACTGCGTATCGCACACACAAATGTTCCACAATTGTCTGAATAATCTATCGAAGAAATCACAGTCAACTATTTTCTCAAATGCTTTCATTGTCTAGACAGGGTGCTGTTCAAGCAACTCTTATCATGGCAACTGGTTTCCAATGTCTCCGAAACAATTAGATATATGAATCATTCTAGCAGTTAAAAGACTCAAGTGACGTCACATCCTACACTGCTAAATGGAAGTGAAACTGCTTCAGTTCGAACAGCGATAATTGATGACATTGCCGGCATTGGTCAGTCGGTCTCGAAACAAAACTCTTTCAGTCTTATCAATAACATCACATAAGTCACCTCCGTAAAATATGATGATTTGGTTTCATTTGAACCACAGGTGGCCAAACATTCCTATGAATAACCCTGATTTATGTTGACCGTAAAATCTTCATTTGACTCGGTCCCTAGGGAAGTCTTATTGAATAAACTTGCTGCTAGTCAAACAGAATGTTGGGCTGTTAAATGGTTACATTCCTATTTCTCAAAAAGAAAGCAGTGCACCGTATATAAAGGAAAGTCTTCTACTTCATTGCCTACTGACTCAAGTGTCCTTCAATGCGCTCTCATTTCTCCTTTTCTTTTTTCTTTCTTCTAGCATGACTTGCCTTACTCTGATGAAATAAACTTTGTGAAGTACGCTGATTACTTAACAGTTTCAGTGGCTGTTAACTCCCAGCCAGATTGTACCAAAATGAATAGCTTTCCTTCGGGAGTCAGTAAATGGTCTGAGTCTAACGGTCTTAAAGTGAATCCTTCTAAATGTCAAACTGTTAATTTCAGCTTAAGATGTAAACGACAGTTAAAAGAAGTCATCGATTCTCGTGACAGTTGTAAAATTGACGTAAAATGATTTAGGAATCAAATCAGAAATTAAGTATCTTGGACTTATTCTCTCTTCTGATCTCTCATTATCTTCTCATGTCTTAGCGATCTCCAGTAAAATATTCCGCCTGACATTTTACATTAAGAAGTTAAGGCACTCGAGTATAACTCAACCCCTTCTCTTACAGTTCATAAACTCTTGCATCTTACCTATTCTTCTTTATTGTTCACCCTTGCTCTTTCCTGGTTTGCTTAAAAGGACTATGTCACAATTCGTAGAATGCTGAAGACTTTCAGTAGGATGAGTGGTGTCCCAGTGGACCACATAGTTAACGTCGTTGTCGATAGCCACTTGACTTCGTGCAATAAATTTGCTAAAGGGATTTTGTCTGACTTGGAGCATCCACTTTACCCTCAGCTTTCACCTTGCATCTCCTCAGGTAGAACAAAGAGTAACTTCAGAAAACTGTATGCTCGCACATCTAAGTACAAAAATTCTATGATACCATACTTGGAACGTATTTTATGTGATGAAAATAGTGTCAGGCAAGAATTAACTAACCGTTTTTCATCTAGTAAATAAACAATTTCCTTCATCCATCCTTCAAGTTTTACTTTTATTATTTCTATTATATTTATGGTCCTGTTGCTTCTTTGTTTTACTCTCATAAATGCAAACACCAACTTATCTCTATGACTGCTGTAATCTTTGCTTTTCCCTTCACCATATCATGTTAAGAGAACATTATACTCAATATTTTTAAACATGTTAGGATTTCTATACCACATTGCCAATGCTGTGTGAAACAAGCCCACGGCAATTTTCACTTGTATTATTATTACCTTAGCTGTTATCATTATTATTATTTCCAATTTATATGCTGCATGTTTTTGACATTACCCCTATTGTAAATGTGGAAAATTTTCTGTGTAATTTATTTTTATTTACAATTTGAGGAAATTAGATGCAATACTGTGGTGAAATGCTTAAAATTCCATTCTGTATCACAAGTACTGTTTTTGGAATAAAGCAAATCATTATTATTATTATTCGTTCATATACACTATACAAATGGTGCATGGATTCAAGCTGAGTTGTTGTCAAACTTTAACCATATTAGACAATATTCTCCTCGATTACTCAGGTTGAGAATATTAGCATCATCATCATCAACACCCTAGCTAAACTACAGTTAACATAGTTTACAAGGAATAAAACACAGCACGGTCAGTCTACAGTGCAATTTTCAATGTGTTTAAACTTTGTTTTAACTTCTTCATATTCGCACCGACTCAAAAGCTAAATTTTCGCGCTTTCCCGTTGTTCTGTAAACAAGCACATTCTTTGAGTTTTCAGTACAGCCGAATTCGTTAGACAAGCTCTGAATCACTTGGAAACGGTAAGTCCCTTATATGTATTTGGACAGTGATATTAGACGACAGAGAATGTTTCATTGAAGTGATTTGTTTGCGCAGTACATTTCAAACATTCTAGCCACTCATACTCTTACTTGCCCAGACAATCTATGTGAAAAGTAAGGCCGTTTGAAATACACAAACTGACCTTGCTTGCGAAATATTTGCCATTGTATTATTGAACATTACTTGCTCTTCGTTTGTTACGTATATGTTCTACATGATTATGCACATTTCCTGTTCGCCTCGCGATTTTTGAAAATCGACTTCTTTGGCAATACTTCTTCTCAAGATTTTACTTGTGTTGTTTATACAAAGTTGTTCGTCTGTCATCGTGTACAGCGTTAGCACACAGTAGAACGTGAAGACGTGGATGTACTGTGGCATCATAATCAGAATCATATAAGTACATCACAAGTCCACTTTATATAGGGAGAAGCAATTTGCACGATATAATCTGTCAATGTCCAGGTCTACTACACTGGACCTCACACTGTCCCTCAAAAGACTCTCAGAAATTATGCGTAATAACAAACACGAAAAACCAGAACGCAAATTGGTGACTCAAGAACCGTTTATTCTTGCACCAATACAGGGCCAAACATTAAGTTATTGTACACAAAGTATAAGAATAAATGTTATAACAATAAATCACAATAATGCTTCTGATAGTTTTCTCTCTTCCAACGAACAGCAAACGATGACACGATGACTGCCGTATTGATGACTCCCGCGAAAAATACGGAGTTGGGTTTGAGCAAACAACCATGAATTGATCGTTCAATCTTCAACTACATTGACATTATCATAGGTGTTATCACTGTTTAAATCTAACGGAAATCCACTCAACAATTGAAGTCTGTGTTACATGAGATGGATACGGTAGGCTATTGATAATTGAATGAAAATGGTATGTAAAACGTCAGTTAGTTTACCGGTAACAACGTTTGCTGCAATGTGATCTGCAAGTGGCTCATCACAGCCACCAGTGTCCAGTTAAACATGTGAAGGAGTATTATTACATGAATAGTCCACCAGCAACAGGTGAAGCTTTTAGTTCACACTCAATTAAGAAGCAGCATATTTGAGAAGAAATCCATACAAAATGAGAGATCAAGAATGCTGCAGATGAATACTGTCATCGAACGAGTCAGTGAAACCTAAAATGCAATCATCAGAATATTTTCATTATTTCTCGAATTCCCAGATTTACTGGCGCTGTATAGGTAATGATTTCGACTTGTCTTGATAATCAGCATATGCATCAATATGTACATGCATCCTGCTACAGCTTGTTCAACGCTGAGATTCAGTTAGTTCCATTTCATGTGGGGCTTGATTACTCAACATTATTGACATATTCCATAGAGTAACGTTGTGTGATCACGGGAAACATGCGTATGTTTTAGACGTATTACTTCGGGGATTTATACCTCCAATGATTATATCCTCGACAGTGAGCAAATTCAGGTACTCTAGGTGTACCAACGTGAA